CAATCAATAAACAGTTGACCACAGGATCATGTTTATAGCATTTATCCAAGGAATCATAGATGTCTTACTGTACTGTATCTCTGCATGAAATCTGCAAATAGTCTCTTCATTACAAGAATTTCCAAATAGATAATAGTTCATTTTTAACATTTGTCAACATTTTCAAACATCCAGCACTGTTTCCATAGTCTAATGTTAAATGTTAAAGTCCAAAATGTTTCCCTCAGAGCATCAGTCATTATTGATAAATATAAAAGTCACAGCACTTTTTCACATCACAGGTCCCACTGTCATCTATTTTGGTAAACACATTTTATTACCTGCTACAGTTTTTGTCGCTTGATGTATCACTGTACTGTACAGTAGCTTACTTGCCTCTACCTGATGGTATTGAGTTACAAGTTCATAGTGTTGGTGTGCAGAAGATGCTCAGGTCTTCATCTGTGCTTTCAGTTTTCCAGAAGCCCAGAAGTACCATCTGTATACACTTGTGTAACCCGGCATTACACTGTTTTTATTTGCCAGAACAGGATTAGTGGACAAATCTGCAGTATTTAATATATTGCAATATGCAGTATTTTAATATTGTTTTTTCTGCACTCATCTCTGGCAATAAATCATTTAAGTTAATGATGGGTCGTGCAATGAGAATTTATGTTTTTTTTATTTGTGAGTGAGGAAGCAGTTGGCCTAAATAGATTTGTGTATGTGTTAAAGATCCTGCTATCTCAAAAACAAAGCAACAAAAACAAAACAAAAACAAAGATGTACAGTATATTGATGTGGTAATAACTTATATAATTGCTTAAATACTGTAGATTTAGTTGTGACTTGTGTTATTCATTCTGAGGACTGGCAGATGCCACTTGGAATTTCAAGTCTGGAATTTCTGTCTTATAAGCTCACAATTAAATTGATTGAATTGTTGACTCCACAGGACGGAATCAGTGTTTATTTTCCAGGTGTTGTAAGGATGAATATATTTTAGCATATGAACTTGACTCATGGTGCAGTACAGTAGCTTACTGGATCTTAAACCGTTAAATGCTTGCAGTTAATCAAATAATTAGATCAATCTAGTTAATTGAGCTTTCAAAGTTGGAATGAGATTGCATCCCTCCAGGAGTCATGTGAACATAAGGCCACAAATGTTTATTTGCCACAAGTAGCTTTTTGATGCTGCTTCCAGGGTATCATTTTGAACAAAACGTCTTAGACACCTAAAAACAGCATCCTTTGGGAACTGAGTTAAATACTCTATGTGTAGAGTACAATATGCTTCAAGCTTTTTTAAAAGAGAGAGCATGAGCTATGGATCTCTGATACTGAGGTTCCCTGGAGCACAGACCTAAGGAGCAATCGGAAGTAGTCTTTTTTAAGTAGTAGTATTTAAGGGTCCTTTGTAGGCTGCCTCAGAGAGTGTGCAGTTTTAGGGCCAGCTGGTACTGCTCTGCTGATGCAGGTTTGGGTGCTCTGAGAAGACACCCAGAAACCGGACAAGAGCTGCTGGCCTTGCATGCCCTAGGCTGAGAGGACACCTTGCCTGACATTATAGCCACCGAGTTTCTCCAGCCTCTGGCCTGGCGGAGCAATTAATGAGCTCATTAATGCAATCCTTGTACCTTCAGCGCTCAGCGGGAGCACACAGATAACATGCCTATTTCCTTAATGCAGAACAAAGCTGGAGTTGTGTTTAGCTAATAAACCAGCAGTAGATTGGACTTTGGTGGGGGGGCAGGGGATCGGTGGTTTAATGTGTCTAATTATCTTTCTGATTTGCTGATGAAAGGCTGGCACTAATCCAGGACAGAAGCTCCATGTGTGGGCTCCATTTCGGAGGATGAACTGTCTTTTTTTTTCCCCCCACTACATACTGTATAGACCATGTCTGTGTAGTTTGAGACATGATTAGGTTGTGATATTAATTTTAGTGTGAAAATAAATGAATAAGAAAGAAAAGCCGAAAAGCCTGTTTGAACCTTTTTTTCCACTCTTTCTCCATGGAGGGAGCAGTTTCTTAGTTTCATTATGAGTTTCTAATAATGACCCAGCAAGGGCAAGTACCTTTTTACAGCTATCCTTTCTTGGGAGGAAACTGAATGCATCTCATAGCTTCACACTGTGTACTTCATGACATTAGAACCTTTCTTCAGGTGTAGATTGTTAAATTTACCAAGATGTAAGTATCCTGAATTAGGAAATACAAATACTGAGAGGCTATTTTCATTTCCATTAAAGACATTTTTCTTTTCTGTGTATTATTCACTGGGACTGGGGCTCAGACTCATAGAAGACAGTTTCATGCTTTGTTGAATTTGAGAATACAGAATACACATACCTGTAGGTGATTGGTAGGAAAATTCACTAAAAGCCAGCAGGTCCCATTCAGTGTGGTCAATGTGTGGTATAGGGGGTCCATTGGTGTGAGAGGGTGACTGCCAGCCTCATGCTTCAGCTCTCTATACTGAAAGGCCATGCATACTGATCACAGCAACGCTCAGCTTGTCTGATCCAGTGACCTGGTAACAGCAAGGTAACTTGGGCTCTTTTGTTCGTATCCAGGCAGAATTAAAAAAAATGAAAACAAAGAAATGTGTGGGGTTGTGATTAGTCTGCACTAAGGGCTGTGACTAAACGTTTTCTTACAGAAAAATAAAGTCTGAAATTTGTAGTGTTTTTGTGTTTTCAGTTGTACATTTTTTCTACTGGTCTATTTGTTAGAAAATCCTGATATGTGCATAAATTGGATGAGGCAAAAAAAAAAGTCTGTCTGTTCCCTGATTGTACGAATTCTGCCATTATGAAATCATTACAAGTGACAAATGTCAGCTGTGTCACTGTTGCCCAGGCTGTGTGCACCTTGCTGTCTAATTAGGGGAATTGACTGTAATATCTGCAATTTCTCCTCCATTCGCTCAAATTATGGGGCTCATTTGCCAGGCACAGCTGTTCCTCTTGGTCCCTGAATGGCACAGCACTGTGGCCGTGAGCAGCCTTAATTATGCCCTGCAGTGGCACAGACCTGGGCATTTAAGATCTTGCTGTTAGAACTTACACTAACACACACAATTAAATGAAATATATTATCTTCCAAGTACAGGCTATTCAAAGTTGAATTTCCAGATTAAAGTTTAGATGGCAACACCTGTACAAAAACTTTGCACATTTTGTTAATGTGTGTTCCTATTCTACAGAAACTGTACCCTCTTTTTAGATACCTTACGAAATGCCTAACTAAGTGTCAATAGAACTTGGTTTATTACATCGCCCCTAGCCTCACTCTTCAATATGGTGAAGTTGTAGCAGGAAATAAAACCCCTTGTTCTTTGCCCTTTGCAAGAAATACGCATTCTTCATGCAGGAAAGAATTTCTAAAGTGACCTGGGCTGCAACTGCAGAACCCATTTGAGTTATAAAGAACTCTGAGTGTCCTTTTTATCACTTGCTTGTCGGGCTGTTTCACAACTCTTGAGCAATTTACCTCTTCTAAGCCATGCAGTTTCAGAACTTTGAAAAAAACAGTTGGTACTTTGTGTATCAACAAACTTCAGTATATTTCTAGACACATAAATCTGCACATTCTTAAATCCTACAAGCTTTTTACCTGAAATCAACTTTGAACACAGGCTGAAACTAACCCAAAATATTGAGACATTTTTTTTCCTTTTTGGGTACCCTATAACTTTTATAGTCTTGGTATGTTTCCTTATGAAACCTTAACTGCTGATAAAAAAAAAAATACTTTTGACAGTTGAACACTTAGTCATGGTGGTCTGGCCATGGAGAGCACTTCACAATAGGGTGTACTTTCTTCTGGACCATAAGAAGGCTGCCTGCTGGGTTTTATGTAGTTTCTGTGCTCTATTCCAAGAAAGCATTAAGGGTTTAATTCACAAAACCTCATTACTTCCATTGTCGTTTTATTAGCATTTAATGAACTTTGCACTTAACATCTTACCAGTTTAATGAAATCGTCTACATAATCTACTGATGCACAAAGGAGATGCAACACCCAAGTGTGGGTTTAATATTCTAAACACAAACTAAATCTCAAATAATGTGAACAAAAATAGATCAGATGATCATATTGCCTTTTCAATATGAAATCCAACAATTTAAAATATGGAACATAATGGAACTTTATCAAATCAGGATAAGATATGACCTCAATAAGCATTGAACCTGATCAGCTTCTAGATAGACTGCTATTGGATGCCTTACCACTCTTTATGATTCAGCTGGGGAATTGCAGTTGTCTCCTGTTGATGGCATTGGTGATAACCACAAATGTTCTGCTGGACTGATTTCAGCAGATAAAGCTTTTACAGCAAGGTTTCGTGAGTTTTCTTGAAGTTATGTCCTTGTAATCCTAGCACTAAGTGGTCTTGCGTTGTCCTTCTGGCGATTGTACACTTCCAGAAATACCTGCAGGAACATAACTCAAGGCCTTTATTTCAAAGAAGAGTTCGTCCCACATCACACTTCCTCCACCGTACTGTACAGGTATACTTGAACAACACAAAAGTCAGCATGATCCTTCCACACACCGTCTTCTGTTAAGTCTGTCAAGTGCACAACAGCATTTAGCATGAATAAAACACTTCACATCTCTCTCTGCCATCACCTTAGATGTTCTCTGGCCTACAAAAGACATCTCCGTGCTGTCATTATTACTCCTGAAATGCCACTGTGCATGCACACTATTTCCATGCTAACAGATAGCTATAGTCTTTTTAATGTGCAGGTTATTTCTTCCTAGAGTTTTTTTTGCAGGTGCCCCTGCAGTCTGAAAATGGTTACACCCTTGAAAGCAATGATCCACTCACCTGCCTTTAATGTGTTTATGTGTTCTAAAAAGTATAACACTTAGCGGTAGTGTGCAACTGTGTCACATTTGTAGTTTTTACACTTGCATCATTTCAGGGCTCTCTGGGAAAGTGGTTGGGATACACAGCCCTAATACTGTACCTCCATTGCTTATATTTGTTCTCTCCTTTCAGCTAACACAGAAGGAATCGCTGGTGACCTTGCTGGATAACCGCACCTGGGCCAAGCAGGGCATTGCAGAGGAGTTTGACTACATTGGCAACTCTCAGGCCTGGAAACACCCACAGCTCAATGTCTTTGTCACCCTCGTCATCTTCATCGTCATGAAGGTAGGGCACAGCACTCCTTTGGCTCCAAGGCAGGGCCAGTCATGTACTAGCCACCTTGTACACTCTAGGTGTTTTAGTCTGGCACCATCTTTAATTATGGAGCTGCACTATACAGTATATCAGCTTATCAAAAGGTTAGTGGTTCTAGCTGTGTGGTGAAGTGGACTGGAAGAATACTATGCTTGGCTTACCATAAAACAGACGAGGAGATTAAATACCAGACCTTCCTATTCTGTCCAATACAGGATTTGTGTTTGGCCAGCTCTTTTCTTGATTAAAATCGGTTTATTAAATTGAAAAAAATAAAATAAAACTAAGTTGTATCAAAGGTTCTCACCAGAAGGGATTGAAAGGATACGATTTGTTCTATCATTTTGGATGTGCAGAGCTAAGGATCCTGTTGTACAGCAGTTTGATCATTTTCAGGTTCCACCAGTTGAAGGCTCCTGCGCAGATCAAACTGATGAATAGAACTTTGTTAACTTCAGACTTTTGTCTGTGAATCCTGAGCTTGGTTTAAAATTGTGAACTGTTAAATATGTGGTGCTGGCTTCTGTACAAAACAATCCACTGGTAATGTTTGGAAAGGATCAAACTGTAGCACATTTGGGGTATTATTTCTATCTCCATTGCTCCATTTAGAAAGCTTTTTAGGGAATTCTGTTTTTTACACGTGCATTTAGTGTCACCCAGTTGAGACCCCAAATGAGAAACTGCACTTACTGTAGGACATTACATTTCTGTAGTGTTGGCCTGACTACTTATTTTACAGTCCTTGAATCTACAGGATATAACCAGGTCCTTACAGAAATCTGGAATAAACCCTTCTAGAATACAGTAATTCCATGGCATTGGGTAACATTATTAGCACATGCAAAATGAAATGTTTGTGGACAACAATAATAAAGTAGCAATTAACAATCAAGCTCTCACTAATGCATCAATCCACAGTTGGTCTTTCCTATTAAATAAAATATGGTTGTGCGCATATTACCTTGGCATTTAGCAGTGACCAGGTTACATTTGAAAGATTTGCTGTTCTTTTGAATTCCTTTGATTGTTCCCAGGGTGTGTTGGGCTGCACTGTTAAAATTAGGAGTCTGCGAAAGCCAGGGGCGACAGGCAGTAAGAGACAGAAGGAGGTGTGCTGTGATTCTGGTGTCAGTCACACTGAGGGAATATATAAATGGGCTGTCTAGAACCAGGACTTAATTACCAGCTTGGGATTGTAAAGAATGTGTTTAATTTTCTCTAAGTCAATTAAGGCTTAAGTCTCCTACAGCTCATACAGATGTGAGTAATGTTATTTAAGTGGAATTAATTGTTAAAGTTGGAGGTTCGCTCTTGGCTTTCAAAGTTAATTTTGTACTAAGGGAATGATAAATTATTATTAATAATGGTTCTCTCATCACATGTAGTTACGTGATGTGCTAATGTCTTATGTTTGAGAAAAAGATTGTGATGACATGCTTTCCATGCAAATCAAAGCAGAATTACAGTACTATTTAATATTATAATATTACATAATATATAAAGAAGATGGTATTACAGTATGTGTGCTACATTCCAATTATGCGATCTGATGGAGTAGGATATCTCAAGATTGGTATTAAATGTGCCTCAGAATTGGTTAGACCGTGTGTAGGAAACCCTTATTTCAGTCTAGCTCAATCCAGGACTTTGATTGAGCAGATACTGTAATAACTCAAAGAGCTATTTTTCTGAAAGTCACTTAGACAGCAAGTTGCACCATTCTGAATAATATAGTATATACTGTGTATTGTATATACTGTGTATAATGGTGGCAATGTTACCAAGTTACATGTTGAACCTTTTCAAACCACAAGAACACTGAGCAGGACACACCAGGTGTTCCACAAAGGTTCTCAGATATTTTCCTTCACTTGAGGTTGTGCTTGTGTTTAAGAGTTGTGAGATTGAACTGCACATTTGATTGGTTGCACTAATTTTAAATAGGAACCTGGGATTGTTCTAGCCAGAAAAATTGTTAGAAATCTATCTTCTGGTCCTTAAGCAAATGATTTGGTTCCTGCCACTGAGAGAGCCCTGCAGTTTGCTAATGTTTTGGGCATCATCTTCAGTGTGTATTACTATGTATTTAAGTGTGGGTCAGTCGTGTTTCTTTTCATTGTTACTGTACATCTTCACACACCTGTGCAGCACTCTGAGAGTCAAGGTGTCATATTGTGTGCTGTGGTGTGTTTTTGAGGCTGCAGTCTGCAGGAAACCCTCTTTCAGATCTGGTAATGATGCCAACTGCAAAGTTTCCATCACATCAATGTCCAGAGGGTGGCATTTCTCCAAGAGCTGTGATGTCGTCACACAGGCAGCAGCCTCCAGCTGCACATTGGACACCTTGACATCCGACTTCAGTTAGTTTATCTGACAAGTTGTCAGGCTACTAAATTAAAAGAAAATTACCAAATTCTGTTGCTTTTATATGTGATGCTTTATGATAAATTCTGTTGGTTAAATGTAGCAAGACAAGCTGTTCCTGTGTTGTACAATACTGTACAATACAATACTGTACAATACTGCAAGTTCCTTTATTATTTGTTTTCTAAGATACCGGTAGAATAATTTGTTTCTGTGATGTAGGAACTGTAGAGAGTCAGTTCTGTGTCTAATATACCTGTGTACCCCCAGGTTTTCAGCAGTAGAAACAGCAGAAAATATCCTAGAGAAATATTGTCACTTTGCAGCAGAAACTTTAACTACAGTACTTTGTATTGCTTGATGTACTGTAGGAGGTGGAGTTTCCCCTTTTAGAAATATTTTTGGTACAAACAAGAGGTTAATAGATGCTATGTCCGCCATGTTGCCGAGTTCTTAAACTTAATGACACTACATGCCATGTATAAATAATTTGGGTATGTCTTGATACACATGTTTTTACACTTTTTGTTCCTTTGTGCAGAAGCAAGGTTCGAGCTGTAAATGTAAAAATAGGCGTTTCACAGCTTCTCAGTATTATCCATCCAACAGATTAATCAATTACCAATAGAGCAGTGGCACTCAGTGCTGGAAAACATGTACAGTATGTGAGCTGTTTTAGTGTACAGTAGGTATTGTGAGTTTCACTTTACAAAGTCGGACACACATATTGCTTGTTTAAATCTAGGGCATTTATCCTGTCTTTAAGCTTGAGCTTGACACTTTTTCTCTCTTTATTTTCCCCAAATTTGTAATTACCAAACCTAGATTAACTTGGCACATCACTGCCACTGTCACTACAGTATGGAAGGGACCAAGATTATCCTTGCTGTGGAGCCAGTCACCATTTGCCAGTCTCAGGGTGCCTTCAGGACAGTTTGCTTTGAGTGTTCTTATTGATGAGCTTGAGCTCAAAAGCAATGACCAAGTGCCAAATGTAACAACCGCTTGGGTAATGCTGGATTCACTCTGCTAATAACATGGCCCAGACTTAGACCACTAATGTCTGGACTGTAGGATTCTGCCTATGCACCATTTGAGTTCATCCAAAATACATACCATTAATGATTTGTACTGTACATCCTGTGAAATTTACAAATATCAGTGTATTGGCATGGATATATACAACTTGGAGTCTGATGCCATCCAGACCTTCAGTCAATGTTCTCTCTCTTGATGCCCATGCTTTTGTTGGAGAGCACAGAAGATAAGAGGCAGAAGTGTTGAGTGCTTTTGCTGGAGGGCACAGAAGATAAGGGGCAGAAGTGTTGAGATGTGTGGATGGACTCCTAACTGATTAATGGAGGCAATCCAGATTCAAATGCTGCAAAGACTGGTTTTCAAAAGTCATTTGTGCATCTTGTTTTTTTTTCCCTAAATATATTCTTTAACTGAAGGCTACTTTAAATGAACCTAAACTGTAAGAAAATGTCATCTTTCCATTGGTGGATGTTTCACACAGATGTAAAGTGTTCAGGTTGCCTAGAATGTGTTTATCAGATGATAAGTGACATTTTGGAACTCTCTTTCAAGTTATACTTTCCCAAAAAACTGATCAACTTGAATCTTTCATTGATTTGACTGATTTGTGAAGTCTTACACTACCTCTTGAAGTCAGTCCGGTCTACGTTTAAGTCTTTGCTGGTCAGCAATGGCCCTTGGTGCTGAATGAGTGACAGGTGACCGACTGGCCACCTGCATGTGCCTGCTGCGAATGCACAGACCATTTCCGCTCTCTTCCTGCCAAATTCAATTTAAAACTTCAGCTGAGAGCCTTCTTATTCATTCTGAATGATTTTTTAAGTTGTGTCCTGCTTTGTACAGCTATCCCGGATGTGATTACATTATAAGGCTGGTGTATTTGGTGATATATTTGTTTTTATCAGTCAATAAATAACTTTAATTGATCTATCAGGTACAATCGCAAGCCTTAGCTGCCCAAGAGTGGTCCTCGGACTGCTCTATTAAATTACTGTACCTGCTGTCTAAATGTCCTCAACTTGTTCTTTATCAACGTATCTAGCTAAATAAAATAAGTAATTGGTTTCATGTTGGCCATTATGATGTCACACTTAAGAATGAGCGATATTGTTGATTTGCACCTGCTACTGTATCAAATACAACAAATGAGTAAATAAAAATACTGAAGCCCAAAAGACATCAAAACCCTTAGCAACAGCCTGTATTCCTTCTTCATATTGTAGTTTATATAGATGGGGCTGACTGGCCTGTCATTTGTAACCTTTCTTATGTCAGGCTTGTACTGTTAAGATGTTAATACTGGCAGCCTGTCTTTCAGTTGCTCACACAGTTCCCAAAAGCTATTCCTTGACATGTAATTCCTGCCAGGGTTAATGGCTGTTTTCTCATTATCAGGAAACTTGTATTTTCTTTAACTGCATCTTGTTTTATTTACTGAAACTTAACTCAATGATACGGAAAAAACGCACAACAGTAGTGAGACTTGGTTCAAGACAGCCTTCTTGCTTTGAGAAACTGAGGCGCTTAGGGTGACAGCAGATGGGAATCTTATCAGGGAAAACCAA